GTTTACATTCATAAAATCAAATTTGATTATAAAAACAAAATGACTGTGATAATGTTGTTAACTTTAAAAGGGTGAGTAAAAAAGTCATACTAAAGGTATTTCCTGCATATCATTGGCTATAAAGTTTAGAAATATGATGGGAATTTGGAAATCACGCGGAAATAACCGTAGCTGATTGGTTCAGAACGACCTTGACTTTCATCTTTATGGGCATTCCCAATCAAACAAAATTGCGGTATGAGATAGTCAATAACACAAGGGCCAAATCTGATGTTTGGGAAGATTTTGGGCTTAACAAATGTAAATCGGATTCAAGAATTGAGGAAGGTAATCTTTAGAGAGATTTAATGATTGACAAAATTCTGCATGTTGCTTAATTGTTCTGTTTCACTGTTCAGTGTTATTTCTAGTTCTTTCATTCCAATAAAACAACAAAACAACATAATTTTCATGACCTTATTTTGTATACAACTCAATATGCTTAACTAATCATAAAATGAGAGGGTCTCCATATATAAAATACAAAATAGTTAACAGTATGCAGCGATGTTTTCCACAGGCGGTACCCAACCCTAATGTTGAATGGTGCTCATTCTATATACAAGTACTAATTTCATCTGAAGAGTGTATAAGTAATTTGAAGGAATTTACTTTGGAAATACTTGGTACTTGGCAAATTCTGGGGTCTAGCAAGGAGGAGGGTGATTAAGTACAATAAGTGCTATTATAGTAAAGTATTTTTTTACTGGCTGTTTGAAAATGAACAGTTAGTGGCTGATATTTGTTCCTGTGAGCCACTTATGTATTTTGATTTTCTTATTTTTTTATGGATGTTAATTTGCATGTGTTCAGTTGGAGTTACCAACTGATAACTGGAGTAACCAACCTGAGATCACTGTATCTTTTTTAACATTGTGTATGTGCTACAAATTGGTATTTGTCACCATAAATAGCATTATTATTTTATTAGTATATAGAACTTGAACCTGTATCTGCTAATTGATATGATTTTATGTTAAGGCTGTAGTTTAGTTTACACTAAATTGAATGATTTCCAGAAAATGTATTCCAGAGCGTTGTGTTAAAAAGAGTTTGAATTTAGTTTATATGTCATTACTTCAATTTTAGCATTAGGCAGTATTTTAGTTGTATTCAGAATAAATAATTCGGCTTTGTCTTCTTCTGCCTTTTTATTTATACATTGAAGTGATCCGGATTCTTCATGATTTCTGTCATTCTTTAGGCAGCAGTAGGAAAGTAGTGGTTGGGGCTTTGGTATTTGGACTGCCGAGATGCAAGTTCATACTCCTTACGTGTATGGCGCACTGCTAATGTACTGTTGAGCAGGGTACTGCATTCGGATTGCTTTAGTTTGCCCAATGTAAATGGGTCTTTAGTACACGAGAATTTGTAATTGTGGTCTAAATCTAAAGAGAAAAACAGTGGCCATCTGCAACTTTTAGTATCAGAGAGTTGCATATTTCTATGTCTTCTATATCACAAATCTAAGAATTCTGTGCATTTGCAACTGTTCCTGAACTTGAGTGTTTTCTGATTTGTTTGCATTCAGTTTACAGTTGAGACGAGGTCTGTGTTTAGCTTGTTTGATTGGAGTGAAGTTCTTATTTTGTAGGTAGATGGCAGCCCTATTTTGAATTGTATCAAGACCTTTGCCAAACTTCAAAAAAGAAAAATCAGTTTAAGCCTTTATCTTACAAGCCTTAGCATGTAATGATATTTACATATTAAAGATTTTATAAACAATTATTGCTTATTTTTATAAAGTAATGTTTTAGCCTCCTTTGTTCCAAAAATGCAATATTTTAGCACCTTTGTGCATTATGTATGACTTGGGTGTCTTTTTTAGAAAAGTGTTTTTGTCTTCTTAATTTCAAATATTAAAGCATTCAATGGACTGCAATAGTACCCATGTTGCTGATTTTAAGACCAGCTCCACTGACATAGTGATCATTTTGTTTGGAGAAACTATACCATACTGCAGAACTACCATGCATGTCTAAAACAGGACACTTGTAACCAGTAAAGGAAAGACGGAGGGTGGTGCCTTGTTGTTTCAATAATATGGAATCTGCATTGTTGCCAACTCTGAATGAGACGCACTGAAATTCCTTTGCCTCCGCATGACTCTTAGTTACTAACATGCCAAAGTCTTCCTGTAAATGCTTGAACTGCTTTGTGTTGTTCATTATTAATTGTCGTATACATAATTTATTGTTTGAATTTCTTGATTGTACAGTTTATTTTGTAGTTGTTCTGTTGTATTTTTACTACAGTGCAAAATGACCCATTTGAAAGCCCCTTTGGGATTTCTTTCTGGAAATTATACTTTTAATTTTATTTTTTTTTTATTTTTCCACAAAATATGGGAGCTTTATTATTGTTACTGGTGAGAGTCTTGGCAGCTTTTTTGATTAAACAAATCGTATATGGCTTCATATAGTTTTTGCAAAAAATATTCACTGAATATATCTGCCCTTTTCCATTCTTAACCAGCACCACATTTCTATTAGTCTGGTAAAAACCTGTTTGATGGTAACAATACAGACAGTGTGACGCTTGAAATGAAATACCTCAATAAAGAGAAGATAAGTCAGTGAAGAAAACAAAAAAAGCAAGGCAGTGTGATCAAAGGTGTATTGTTAACCTGTGTAGAAATGATTTAACATTCATTAAATGTAATTGCATTTTGGATGTAAAATAAATAGTGCCGAAAGGTCATATTTGACTTTTAGTACCTAACCTCGGACATTCTTGGAGGTGTAAAGTAGCAAGCCATAGTTTAGCTTCTGTGCGTGTTTACTGCACCTACTGTCCTTCAAAGGTCTCATCTCAGAGTCATGGGCTCTAGTCTTTCGTAATAAGCATGACAGGGTGCATTACTTTGGGTTGTTGCTATTTTTAAAGTGATCTAATTGCCTTTGCAGTTTTTTATTTAGGATTTCTCCGTTCCACTTTAGTCTTTTATAGATTAACATTCGGCATTTTATACATTTTATTTTCAGAATTATTTCATTTTGCAAATACTTTGTAAATCATGTTGCCTGTTTTGTTGCCAAAAGGAGGTAAGGTGACTCAAATATTAAATGGGGAATCTAACCTTTTTTTCTTTTATTGGAATATAAACACCATTGTAAGATTTTCCTTTGTTACTTTGTCATTTAAAATAAAAAAATGATTCTTTACAGTTGTTTGAGTATGTACTGGCAAAAGGAAGGTGATAAACATTTTTAAAGCAATGTTCAATGTTGTATTGGATTAAACAATTAAGAATTGATTACATTTGATTTGTTAGTGCTCAATGTAATGACATGGAGGCTTTAAAAAAGTTTTCATTGTAAATGAAGGCAGAAGGAGCTGTAGTGAGACATTTTAAAACAATAAGCTCTACTCTACTTTTGCAGATTATAAAGAGTTAAGACTGTGTGGTAAGGCTGAAATGCTTTAACATGCTGGTTCATATGAAAGCAGTTAAAACTGCCTGCTGGAGAGAGTCACTCTCCTATAAAGAGGGAGACTAGAGAACCACTTGCCATCGATGCCTGATTGTTTCCAGTTTCCACTGGAAAAAATATGTATTGAAGCCTAGCCATTTTTCATTTGCACAGTCCTATTGGACGAGCTGATTAGTCACTCCTCTAGCAGACTGTGCGTCTGGGAAATCCGCCTACAAGGCAACATACCTCTAAAGAGAAAGGCAGTGAGAAGCTACTGAAAGATCTTTTGATCCTGGTCTGGATGGAATTATAGCACTGTGATGTTACTAGGTGGTTCATCAAGGCGAAAAGAGAGTGTGCTCTTTGGTTGTGCTGTATTGCTGAAGATAGTGATTTCTCTTCTGCAGAGCTGCTGTTTTTTTTCCCACTGTTAAATTCACATTTTAAAGGCTCCGAGCTTCTGAAAGTGGAGGATTGTAATACTAAAGAGGACGGCTTCTTGCAAAAGTAGTGTTTTTGAACAGTGCTAAAGAATATTAAAACAAATGCTCGAGGAACTGGACTAGGCTGTAACATTTTACTGGATTTCTTAAGAAGTGAAGCAGAAGATAATAACCTCCCTTTTTATTGCTTCGTATCAAAGCAGGCATTGAAGTGATAAAGGGCTTCTGCTGGAAGTGCTCAGTGGTAATTATTCCAGCTTTCACACACAACAGTTCATTCACTACTGCAAGTGGAGCATACTAAACTAGCACTGCACCTCCCCCTCTTATTCGACAGGAAACTGCAGTGAATTCTGCATCTTCAGGACTAAGGGGACACTTGGGCATAAGCACAGAAATCTCAGTGCCTACGAGAATATCCTGTGTTTGCTGTTTAATTATGTGCTTCCTACCACTGTAGATGGATTCCCACTGGAGCACATGGACTGACTCATTGGACTTTATGGAAATATATTTCAGTTACCCAGTAGCAGGTCTGCTGTACACCCACCGTGCTCAGCGGCAAAACAGCACATAAGCATCTTGTTTTGTGTCAGCTAACTGAAAGAGGGAAGCATGCACAAGCAGGAAGGTGCGGGATAATCTGTACGGATAATCAAGTGAGACTTGTAAACCTCTGTGAGCAGCTTGGAACAATCTGACCTGAGGACTACAATGGGGAAATGGCACTGACCTTGTCTACAGCCTGACTTTTTTTTGTTTGGCTTTCTGTGCGATTTTTGCTGCTTCAGATCTCTCTTTATGTCTTGGTAACATGGCTTGCTGCTTTCACAGCTGTTTACAGACTGCCGTCCTGTCACCCACAACAATTATCACTCTGTGCGGATGAACAACCACTCCGGAGAAGGCAGCCTGATCAGCAGTGTCACTATCCCTGCTCTTGTACGACTGGTTGCACTCAGAGTTAAAGAATATTCTCATGTATGCAAAGGATCAGATGAGCTTAGCATTGTTTTAATGTGCCTGACTAGCTTGTAAACAGGAAGAGTATTGTCAGCGCAGTTGCTGGATGCAGATGTGAGTCATATTGCTACTTTCAGCAGCGTTCTGAATGAATGGGGAGTTCGGTGGCTTTGAATATTGGCTTAAAATAATCAAAGTAAATGATCCATAACTAGAACAGTCTATGTGCAGGTTCTGCTCCTTTGGGTTTCAAATGTAAAATGTGAATTTTTCTCCTTCTTGATTAATATAATGAGCATCTGATTGAAGCGTGCTTTAATTATGAAACTTGTAGTGTGGACTTCTGTGCTTCCCTGTTCTCTGTCCTAAAACAGCGTTTGTTGGGCAGCTGTGTATCTTACTTTGTTGCGGGAGCAGTGCATTGGAAACTTTGGAATATTATAGAAGTGAATGAAAGCAGATCGGATGAGCCGAGTGTGCATTGTTGTTTTAGAGGAGGAGGAAGATGATCCCTCCACTTTTGTTTCGAAAGTTTCTCAGGAACATTATCCCCTGCCTGCATCTAACTCAAATGCTCAAGATAGAAAGGTGAGAGATGTAACTTTTATAAAATGTGTTCTGTCTTACTAGCTCTTTAAAGAAAATGAAGTTTTGGAAAGAAACAGTTCAGTAGTTACAGTGCCTTTGTGGCACTTTCTCAGAGGCTGGAGGGATTGTGTTTTTGTCTTAGTCTTGTAAATAAGACCATTACATTAAAGTATTTACAGCATTTAATGTGTTACTCTGCTGCGTCTAGTAATGTGACTGTAAAATTTTTTAACAGCTTAGTTATAGAACTCAAAAAAATATTATGATTAGAAATTTGATGTTCAAGATCAAATTACATAAGAGTACAACGAGTCTTGTCTAAATTGAAATTTAAGGTAACATTGGTCAGCTTTTTTCAGGGGTGCGTGCTGGGCAAATCCTTGTTTTTTATTACATGCAAAATATACAGTGATATGCAGAGATAATTTTCACTCAAAGATCAAAAATAGTTAAGACATAATGCAACGTTTCAGACGTTGAACATTTTTAGGTGTCTTTTTTTACTTTCTAGTGTGGAATTAACTTCTACTTTTTCCTTTGCAGCTCACGCACGAACATAGCTTCCTGTTGTAAACCGAAATTGTAGTTGATAATTTGTGCATTTTTGACAAACTATGAAAAAAAAATAATTCTGGTAATTTTCTACAGAAGATCTGTTGGAAATTTGGACAATTCCTATCGAAAAACAGACATTTGAAACAAATGGCGTTGGCATTGTCCAATTTTTGAACTGCTCATTTTATACTGGGAGGAGTCCATTTTCCTGGAAATGATTAACTCCTACTTTTATACTGAATAGAGTATTTGATGCCAGCTACAACAAACTGATGCGTAAGCGATCCCATGGCACATGGTAGTCCTAACATGTAATCCTGTCAACGGGATATTAATATATTTATTCCTCTCTCCTCTGTTTCAGCCACCACTGCTGAAAGCTATATTTAATGTGGATCCAGATGAAGTTCGCTCCCTCATATTTAAGAAGGAAGATGTAAATGTACAGGTAACATGTCTTGTGTAACAGAAGATGATTTTCTGTAATGTGAAATTTCAGCTGCAAAATAACTTCAAATTAAAAAGTAGTTTGCTTGGTTAAGTGTTTCCAAATAATACATTAACATTTATCTTTGGCATTGCTCACAAATGCCATCTTAATGAATATTTTTGGGCATTATAAGTATTAGGATCATTTTGACTTGAATCTTGTGTGAATATGCATTTAAAAATGTTTTTCATATGACATATGGTATTATTGAACAAGCAGAACAATGTCAAACTTGATCAGTGCACTTAAGTATGAATTCAGAATTCATTTTTTTAAGTAAACATTGTTTTCTTTTACAAACCTACTCCATAATTTTCATTTGATGAAAAAATGAGTGTTGGAAGACAGATAGGATTTGTTCTTCAATTGCTTCAGACCCCAGACATGTAAAACTGCTCCAGTGATCTGTAAATAGCACTCCTAAGATTTCGGTCTGCAGACAGAATCATCTCACTTGTTTTATGGGAGCTTCCATTTTACGCCCTTTTACTCCTAGTGCATTCACTGGACTGGTGGCGTTTTGAATATGTTTTGCATCTAGGCCCTTTGCTGCTTTAAATCATAGCACATTGTGAGATTGCTGAGGCTTCTGCTGGTGTAAATGCATTTTGGCTACTCAGTGTTTTATGTTAAGGAGAGCTTCAGTAGAAATATATAAGAAGAAACAATAAACAGCCACACAGCAGCACAGAATTGCAGGTTCACCTGGGTTTATTATCCTTTAATGGTTAACAGGTGTGTGCTCTAATGGAGGGGAAGTAGGGAACAAGAGAGATTATAGCTAGCATTTCATGTGGAAGGAAAATTATCCTTTTAAAGAAGGGGAGGAGAAATTAAATAATGACAAATGAGAAACATTTAAAAACCCTTTAATTAGAATAATTAAACACCAAATATAGCATACACATAAAAATATACAGTATTAATTTGAATTAATTACAAATACTGTACATTTAATAAATCCACACCGTATGGTTCAGGTTTGTGTTCAGTTATATACAAAGGAAAATGCATAGTAAATAAAACCATTTGGATGCTTCCCTGACAAGATTGCAATACAGCTTACTGACAATGTTCAGTGAAAGTGCGAGATGATATGCGAACGTTATCGCACATGCATGAAAGCAAAGCGAGACTGAAGTGTAAAAAGGGGCCCTGGTGGAAGCTGGTGGTGACTGCATTATGCTTACTCTGCTCTATTCATCCGTGGAAGGAACTTACTGTACTGTTTGAGCTTTGCTTATCCAACATAAAACCTCATTGTCTTGAAAATGTTAATATGGGGAGGGAGGATTTATGGAGTCGAGTTTTCATAAGTTTAGTATTGCCTAACCCGGGGAGAGATGCACATTCTAGCATACTATATTTAGTAAATTGGTTTTCAAATAATTAAACATTTCCAGTGCTTTAACAAATTCACACTAACGCTTGCGTGTTATGACACTTTAAAGTTGTAAAATGTAAATTGAAAAATATATTATTGGTATATATGACATTGAGTGAAAATGTGAATATTTTAATCTATTGAAATTTTTTTCCTTATGTTTGAACTTGCATTTTTTTTTTATTGGGGATGAGCAATAGGGGTGTCTTGTTGACAATACACTTAGCCAGATAATACCGTATTATTATCTATAGCGAAGGAAGTTATCCTAATTTCATGTCTGAAATTAAAATGGTAGGCAGTTCATTGTAGACCTCAAAGTGGTCAGTAACACCGAGACACCGAGACGCAGCAAGTTTCTTGCCATCCAGTCATTGATAAATTGAGTAAAAGAACGAAACTGAGCAGAGCACTGAGTGAGTTGATAAGGGATTAGCAGAGCCACTGAATCTGATTAAAGAGGAGTGCTCAGTCTAATGACACTTCACCAAAAGGGAATTTGAAGTGGAGTTAGTGTCTATGTAAACAGGGCAATAACAGTCCACTGGTGTAGTCAAGAGTCAAACCATTCAAGCAAAGTTAGCAGCAGTATTTTGCATTTTGTATCAAATTTGTAAGAGAAAAAATAAGTAAGGAAACCCATGTACCTTTTAATGTCTCAAGAGTCACTTTAATATTTAATCTGGCAACTAGCCTAGCCTTATTCATTCCTTGTCTGGCAGCTAGACTTCTTTATTCCTGTCCGGAGTGTAGTTTTCTTTGTATGACAGGGGGATTTTGATGTTTCTAAAATACATTACTGTATGTGAGGCTTGAAATTCCATCATTCAGATTTTGTGTTCAGTGTAAAAAATCTGTTTTACAAGCTATAAGTTAAGCTTTTATTTCTAAATTAATAAATATTAGTCCTGTGTTAAATGCTAGAGTACAGTGCTAACACAGCTGCAGATATAAGTTGAAACTCATGGCTTTTTACTTAATTAACATTATCTTGGCTAATGCCTGAACAGCAACTGCTAATTAGTACAGATTCTAGAACGTTTGTCATTGAAACCGTAATTTCAACATACCAATTGTTAAAAGTGAAAGTATACACACAAAATACAAATTATAAGATATGGTTTACAAAACTATGCAATACTTATGATGTAGAAAGAAGAAAAAAAGTCTTATTTGAAAAATGACTAGGTCAGTCACAAAACTCTTCCCTGCTGGATTTGTGCTTGGTATGCAGAGCAGCATTGTCCTTGAGGTGTTGAGATATTTATCTGATCGATAAGAACGGAACATTAAGGCTTTCCTCATACAGTATAGTTTTTAGTGGAGCATCTTCTAAGTGCTCTTATTCTAAACTCTCATCCTGTTTCCACAGAATGCACAAATGTACTCTTTGATTAAACTGGATAGGGGTTTTGGAAATGGGATTGCTTTAAACTGTAAAATATTTTTTCTTTTGAAGTTTTTTTGGTTCTCAGATGTAATTCACTGGCATTGTTACTACAGAAGCCTTTTCAAAGAAGTTAAGATTGTCACTGACCGTACCTTTCATTGTAGCAGCAAAAGTATTGCTCTTCTGCTGTAGACACTATTTCAAGGGTGGTAGTTCAAAGATAAGTTAGAAATTCAACAGGTGCTTTTAATTGGCATCAGTACCCATTTGTTGCAGTTTTCATCCTCTGTATTTTGAAACTTGCAAACTCCTTTTCAGCAGACAAATTTATAATAAACGTTAGGAGGGAAACCAGCTATACAATTACAAAGATATATTTTTAAAGTAATAATCAGTGAAATAAAACCATAGCTACATTGCAATTAATCCAGCTTTTTATTTTCCAAGGAACACTTATTTATAAAAAGCTTCTCTTAACTGCTTGTAATTTAGATAAAGAAGATTTAAAATCTGCTACATTTTAGCACGACACTTGATGTGGGTAGCTGTGTCAGCGTGTGTAGGCTGCAAAGGAAAAGTAATAGGTTTATTTCATGCTGAAAAGAGAAGAGAAAACGCAAGGTTTTGGCTGTGGAGCCTTACACCCGAAGAAGGCTCCACGGCCTAAACATTGTTTCTTCTTTTCAGCATTTGATGCCTCATCCTATTTCTTAACTGAAGTGATGAGTTTGCCATGTAGCAAATACATGATTTTCTTTGATAACATTTGGTTGAATATTTACCATCTTTTTTATTGTTTAATGAATACTGGCATCATTATACTGCATTGAATACTGCATTACTTAATGCAATAAGTTATATATTCACTAAAGTGTGCAATTTTAAAAAAAGTTCTGCAATATTCTTACAGATGTCTTCTCCAAAATAGTATTAAGCATTGTGCATATCATTAGGAATTAAGTCAGAAATTTTACATATTTTGCTTGTATTTTGTTTGGAATAATTAATACATTAATCTGGCAGGTGTTATTGATTAGATGCCTTGGCTGCTGAAAGCTACTTACCCTTGTTTTGTTCTGATGTTACACTCAGACGTAGTGGATTTCTGATCTTATTGATCTGTGTTTTTATTTGGGTACATAGATGTTATTTTTTTATTGGATTAAGGCTGCTGTCTCATTTTATGCAGGGGTGTTTTTGTCCTTTTTAGCTTGTTAATGCAAAAACATTAACACCTTTTTAGCCCTTCAAACTACTTCTGAATTAGATATAGAAATTCTACCTATCTTTCCATTTTCTATTCACTTCATCCAGTTCAGGGTTGTGAGAGAGCCTATATCCCAGGCAACAGGGATAGATTCAACAGGTGCAAGGCAGGATATATACACAGGGTACACACAGATACAAACAGGCACACATTCACTCCCAGAAGTCAGTTAACCTGACAGTATGTCAGTGGGCTATGGGACCAAACCTGAGCACCTGGAAAAACCTCACAGATACTTGGGAAGAACATACAAACTCCATGCAGACAGCACCCCAGGTCTGGAATTGAGTCCAAGCTCCCAGTGTTGCAAGGTAGCAATGCTAACCACTGCACCACTCTACTGCCCCCTCAGAAAATTATTTTGAAAAAATTAGGATTAATGTGTTAGCCAGTCATTTGTAGTGTAGAAGTCTACAATTGTTCTTTCCATACCTATTGGCTAATGGACTTTTTTTCAGTTTATCTCTGAGTAATTGAAGTGTGGAGCCAGATCTGGTCTTATAGAGACACTTTTCCATTGCATCGTCACTAGTCTCATCCTGTTCTTTTAAAGTGCAATTGGTCTAACACAGATGAATGGCTTGAATTGCATTTTTTTCTTGATAGCATTTGGTGTACCGCTAAGTATATGAATTTACATTCTTAAAATACGAATCATGGAGTATTTTTCCTTTGTGGTGAATTAGAGACTCAACATTGACTCATTCCCTTTTGAGAGAGGCAGGGGAGGTCTTTGAAAGTAATTTGGAAAGTAATTTTTAACCTTTTAAGTTCTGACCATGTAAATGTATTATATACATCTATATATAGTGTGTATCAAATAGTCAGAAAATATGAACTGACATTAAAATAGTAACAAAAATAAAAGAAAGTGAATAAGATCGGGTCATTCTATTCATCTTGCTTGTTTGGTAGAGTTGCTAAAAACATCAAAACCTAAATTTCAGGTTGCCATTTCAGTAGTTTGTTCTGGTACTTACCACAGAAGGGAACAGTATTCTATGAGGAACTTTATAGTTGAAGACTACGATTTGAATATAAGAAGGTATTTAAATAAACAATGTTTATTTAAAAATAATTTATGTGATGGAAATATATATTGGCAGTCAAAAACTTTAATATGAAATAATTTCAAAACAAGATGAGAATGTAAATGGTTTTATTTTCTTCAGTTTGTTTTCCAGAGAAAATATTTTCTTTTATAAAGTAATGTTTTAAATTAGTAATTGGTAAATTACTAATTTAATTCCTGTATATATATATATTGGAGGGTAAACAGAAGTGAAATTAATGTTATTCTCAGCTCATTAACTGAGAACTAATGGTAGTTATCATCTAGAAATTTTGACATGTTTGGGGAAAAAAATTTAGATTTGACTGTAAACCCAGATTATATGGATCCAAAAAGCTAGTGTGTTGACATTTCAGCAAACAACTCCAAACATGTAAAATGTTCCAGCTTCTTGATAACTACTTCTTTGACTAGAGTCCAATTCCTGAGGATCTGGAACTTGTCTTAGGAATTAGCATTTTTTTACAAAAAGCATTTTTTTGCAATTCACAAGATTTGCCTGCCTTCTATATTTTGAAGTGTATCCTTGCATACTAATTGTGTAGCTCTTTAATAAAGTGATCCTTTTGTATTTAAGAAAAAGGGTCCCATTGTGTAAGCAGAGGACTGATCAAGGGGTCCCATTGTGTAAGCAGGGGACTGATCATTTAGCTTTTAATTTAATCACCTGGTCAATTCTTTAATCAAATTGAGCTGTTTTTTTATGTCCTTTACCCCATGTTTCAGAGAGAAAGTAAGCCAATGACTTGTATTTTATATCCTGTGTGACTAAGTACAGCATTTTAAGTGCTTGCTTTTAACCCTAAGATGTTTAGAGACAATTTTGGGGGGAAACTGGTATCTGAACCAGAACTTTTCTGTGTGATTTTACTGAACTCACAAATATAATGGGAATATATATTTTTTAATTATTGAAAGAGGTGTGATGAAATCTGTGTTAGCTCAAGATTCCACTTGAGACACTTCTGTTTTGTCACAAGGAGATGGCCAAAACTTTTTGTCTCAAAAATATTTTAAAGGTGATTATTCATTCAGAGTATTTCCTCTGGGCACTGAATAGCTAAATTACAGAAACAAACTGTTCTCTACTTTATCTGCAGCAGGCTGTTGAATGTAAGTCTGACTTACATTGATCTCAGTGTAAATGTTGTAAGTTGCATGTCTCTTTTTCTTATTAAAACTTAAAAAAAACCTGAAAGTTGTTCTTATAAAGCATTTGAAGGTATTATCAAATAGAGAGCCTCATAAAGTATGAACGTTATTGGTGTGTCTGGACTTCATCCTCCAAATGTCTTTGTGTGCGACGTGCATTAATATGTTTTGGTTTGTCCTACAGGACAATGAAAAGAGGACCCCATTGCATGCTGCAGCCTACCTTGGAGATGCAGAAATTATTGAACTACTTATTTTATCAGGTAGGATACATATTCTAAATGTTTTTTTAATACAAAATTGCTCACACTGTATTTGCTCATCATAGCTCTTATTTGCTCGTCAGCTTAGTCCATGTGGTAATTGTGTGCCTTTTGCAGGTCACAAAACCGTCGCAGAATTCATGATCTTCTCTTCTATTTTGGAAGATGATAGGCCTTGTTCAAACTGTGTGTTTTAGACATTTTTCTATGTACACCACAGTAGACACGATTTTGTGGCTATTGTGCAAGTGATTTGTGTATTATAAGAAGAGGGATGTCTAGCCTGTTTTTAAAGCCTATCTGAATAAATTGCAGTAGTTGGGAATCCATCGTTGCATCCATTTACCACTGGAGAACAAATTGTTTCAAAACAATAGGTTTTAAATTTTGATCAACTGGGCACTGTAAAATCTTTAAACAGTTCTAAGTAGAGAAAAAATATTACTGTATATTTTTGTATATACTTTACACCTTCAAAATGTATTATGCTTTTATTTCACATTTACTTGATGAAAGGTTATTATTACATTGGAAATTGTAGTATCCAAAGGTAATATTTGTGTGCTGTTATATGTTATAACCTTGCATTGACTAACAGAATGTCTTCAACTAATTGAAGGTCTGTCAGCAAAAAGAACAGATCTTCAAAGGGTTAGTTGTGTGCATGCAGTGGGTTTTTGGGTAATGCCAAGTCTTTGTGCATTTTTTCTGCACTGATACTGTACATCTGTGGTGTACTGTTTTTTTCCTGGAAAAGCAATGTTTTCACAACATTTTTACTGGAAAGCGGAAGATCATTTGCAGTCAGTTTACAATGGACAGTAACAACAGATAAATGCTGCTTATTTTTAACAAGAGCAAATGTGATTACAGAAGACTCCCATGCTATTTATGTCCCTCTTCTTGCCTTACAAGACCATAAACAGTGGGGTCCATCATGGGGCTACAGTATATTCTAATTCACATTTTATTTTCATTTAATGTCACAGAATCTTAAATTCAAACCTGGTTTGAGAATGTCTTAATTATTCACAAAGACTTTGAGCAGAGTGACACCACATGTTATGGAATAACATTTAATTTGTTTTATTTTTATTTGCTGTTCAGGGAAGTATATCATATATAATGAAGCAAGCCATGAATATGGTCATTTTTATTATAACAAAAATATATCAAACGCATGTTAAACAGATTAATTTTTAATTTTAATTGTGATTGTTAACGTTGGGTCTTTATTTCAGGGGCTAGAGTAAATGCCAAAGACAACAAGTGGTTGACTCCCCTTCATAGGGCTGTTGCTTCTTGCAGTGAGGTATGTGAGTGCTATTTCTGTAACAGAGAGATTAAAGTGAGGAAACTGCGTACATTTAATTTAGGGTGGGTTTAGAAATATGATATGAAACCTTTAAACTCTGAGTGGCTCAAGCCAGCTGTATTGCAAATGTCACAACTTCTCCACCGTTTCCACACATACCTATGTTAAATGAGCATTGCTGGTCTGCTGACAGTTTTTAAAGGACAAGGCAGTACATGCACTTCTGAATTGTAAGATGTTAAGTAGCAGTCACTGAAAAGTGTAGGAGTCTAAATAGCATTCAGTACTAAATAGCACACTATATGATTTTGACTGCTATTTAATATGATTTAGTATGGTACATAGGAGAACAATAAATATAAGGTCAGTGTATTACATTTTTGACGGACATTATTTTAATATATTTGTTATTTGACACACCTGTGAAATTATAGATTTGCTAGCTGTAGTTTTATAAAGTATTGCAGTATAATGATTTCGGATTATATTGTCAAACCTCTCAATGATGCAGCAGGCTCCCACATTGTTTACAATGTAGAAATTTTATATTGTCAGTATCAAGTAGTCATGTTGCCTGAAGATCAAATGAGTATATAAAAATAACTTACTCCACAAGGCATTGAAAACAGTATTTTTTTTTAATTTACCATTTCTAAATGGTGTCAGAAAATGTAATTCAACAAAATCTACCCATCCTTATATAAAGAATCTGTACCTGATCATTTTTTACAGAAACAGAAGCTAATTTTCAGAAAAAATATGATAAAAGAAAGGAATTTACAGTTTAATTATCAAGAGTCTTAAAGTTGAAGTTCCTAAACAAATTGGTTAACCAGACTGGTTAATCAATCTAATATTACATGTATTAGATTTTAAGCTTCATGGGCTGGAAAATGTTGCTGAACAACATAAAATATCTGGAGGATTAGTTTAGTAAGCAACTTTTCAGCTGTTTTATTATAGCTTCAGTCCACAAGCCGATCAATAAAATCATTATTTTACTTTACCACTGCAACTTTGTGATAAAGGAGGTTCAGTTTTATTACCCATAAATGCACTCTATTCTCAAATTGTTCTAGCTGAGGGGAATCTTGTTGCAAGCAGTCACTTCCACTATTATCTTCTATGATTAGAAGATCTGATCAGAGTTATGGTGATTATTAATAATGAAGTACACATAGTTCTGTATTTACATGCTCTTAATTTGTGCATTTTACGTTTAACACACATTAAGAATATATACTTAATTAACTTAAAATTGATTGGATGTTCAAGTTAATATATGCTGTGTATACCAGTGGTTTGCATGTATAAATAGAACCATGTAGGTAATGTACAGCTAGCTGGGCAATCTTTGTCTCAGTGTTTCAGCCACTGTTCATCTCCTTTCATTTAACACGTCCTAATTAAATCTAAAAAATGCCTTTGTTGTACCATGTTTATGTCGTTACAAGTGGGGGGTTATGTTTAATAAGTAAATTAACTATTCATAACTCCTGAATTGTAAATGAGTTTGGCAAGAATGTTTCCAAGAGGTTGGTTTTGTTAGAGGTACATTAATTATTTGTTCTCTGACATAGCTTTAGTGAGATGAGTAATAATTCAGGCACACTTGGTTAAACAAATATTTATTAAAAATGACAATACACACTACACACAACATAAACATACAACACACACGTTACACTATGTACAAATTTACAGGCATCCCTGTAAGGCATCCCTGAGGCCCAGCGTCCTAACAACCTAGAAAACCCCAGACTGTTACCGCATATTCAACTCTTTAATAATGCATACAGAGGCAAAATGTAGACATTAGCTGCCTTCTACACTAACCAGAATACAAACTGCAGTTAAATCTCTCTCTAAACCTAGATGCCACCAAATGAATGGGAACCTATTTCTCTATTCTAAAATGTACTCACAAACCAGGAACTGAGGGATTCTTTACATAGGAATTCAGAGTTGAAAAAGAAATACAGAATAGCAAGCTCTCTTAACCAGGTTCAATTACTTAGCTTCGATCTCGTCTTCCTGGGTGATCTGGAACAAGAAACTCTCAAGGTTAGAAAATGAATGGGAAAAAAAACATAAATATAAGATACTTCATGAAAAATTATTGAAATAAAATTCAGTGCAAAGTAATTATTAGCAAAACTTAGTCATTTTAAAAAGGAAAACATTATAACGAACCTTTACATTTGACAAATAAAACAATTAAACCTAAACCTAAATAAACAATATTCATGAGACATAACAACGCTCACTTGGAGTAGGACCAAAAATAACCGCAGTTTAGATGCATCTATTGGTGTGACTCCTGCATTTTCCACACCTTTGACCACTAATAGCATCTTCGCATTTTGCATGAAATTGATAAACATTAAAATATTAAAAAAAAAATTGTACGAAAATACAAACATTTTATTTTTCTCGATTTTCACTTGTAATTACTTTTCAGAATGTGTGAGCTTTTGTTTTTCACTTGAAGGTTGTGTGTTATAATGTGGAAATAAAGCCAAAAATAAATTCTGATTGAATGTTTCTTGAATTTAGGCTGTTAAGCCACTAAATGTAAGAGTGTGTTGACTTTCTGTAGGTTCTGGTTTAGGCCCATAGTAAACAGAATGCATAACTGGTTGTCTCCTTGTTTTGGTATTGTCTGGGTGCAGTCTGTTAGGGGCCTTTTTTGATGCTTGTTGTTTTGCTTTCTAGGAAGCTGTTCAAGTGTTGTTGAAGCACTCTGCTGATGTCAACGCTCGTGATAAGAATTGGCAGACACCTTTGCACATAGCTGCTGCAAACAAAGCTGTGAAATGTGCAGAGGCCTTGGTACCTCTCCTCAGCAATGTCAATGTCTCTGACCGGGCAGGGAGAACTGCATTACACCATGCTGCCTTCAGTGGTCATGTGGAGGTAACCATGGCATTGCCTTTAAAAGCTTCAGAGTGTTTTTTACTTATTGAACAAATTTAGTTTTACATGAGTGTGCTTTCAAAGAAAAAAACACACTCTAGGTGTCCCATAGTGTGCATTGTGTTCCCATTCATTTTAAAATGTATTCTAGTTTTATTTATTTTTTTTGAAAGGCCTTATTTTGAGTTGTTTTCCTCAATCCCAATTTAAGGACGTATGTTTGAGATCATAATACAATAGTTGTCGTTGGACATGTATCCAGGTTTGAAAATCTGGAAGCGAGAACATTATATCAGTGAATTAAAACTTCATACAGTTAATAAAACCATTGATGCATGCAGTGTCATACAAATTATATTTTTCTTTTATCTGCAGATGGTAAAGTTGCTGTTGTCTAGAGGTGCCAATATTAATGCCTTTGACAAGAAAGACCGACGTGCTATTCATTGGGCGGCCTATATGGGTAAAAATTTCAGCATTACTGATATGGCTTGATATACCAATTCATTTTAGCCCCATGTAGTGACAGAACATCTTTCTCTACTCTTTAAACCTACACAGATCTTTTTGTATTCTCATGCTGCCTATGAAACTATTCTTAGATTTGCATTTAGTTGTAGCTGGATTGACAGATGTACTTTTGATTGTATTTTTAAGTTATGTATCGAAGAGTAAGTTATCTGTATATGGTTATTACTTCTATTGTTCACAGTATGTTAATCATTCATTTCAAGGAGTCAGTTTGGCCAAATTTCAGGTTTGTTTTTTTGCTGGATATGCATACATTAGACTGGACTTTCAGTGGGAAGGTAGTTAAATAAGTGCAAATGTGCATTAACCTGTTATATTTGATTTTCTGCCTGTGCCCCTGATTTTATGGTTTGAATAGTTTTATTCATAACACGAATGCAGAAACTGAATACTTCTAAGGGTAAGGTAAATGACACTCATAGTCACCAAAGACTTAAGAAAAAAAAAGTTAAATATGTGGATTGTATAAGGATTCAGATACATAAACCCAGTAGTTGGTAGAAGCACCTTTGGCAGCATTTACCCAATAAGACTGCAGCATATCAACTCTATCAGCCTCTACCAGCTTTACATATCAACTTGGTGCAATTTGTGCCCAGTTTTCTTGGCAGATTTGCTTCGATTCACATGTTGCTTGGGGGTGGTTTATGGACAACAGTATTCAAGTCTTTCCACAGGATTCAAAGCAGGAGTTTGACTGGGCCTCTCAGGGGCTCCTGCGTGGTTTCTGCTTGGTGATTTGGATTATTGTTCTGCTGAGAGTTGAATGTTCACCTCAGTTTAAAGTCTTCATCTTTCTGAAACAGGTTTTCTATTATTTACCTATACTTTGCTCTGCCTGTGTTTTCAGTCCTTTCCAGTACCTGCTGAGCATCCGCATAGAATAATGCTGCCATCACCGTGCTTGCCAGTAGGGCAGTGTTGACTGGGTTGTGCACTGTTGGTTTTGCACTAGAATTAAAGCTTTGCAGTTACACAGGAATGTCCCAAATTTTGACTACATGTTTGCAATATCACTTAAATGCTTTGCTGCAAACTATATATTGGATCTGAGGTGGTTTGCAAGACTGCCATAGAGGTCAGCTTTTTGGAGTGGCTGGGATATTGTTAACTCATAGGGCATTTTGTGTTTCATCTTAGCTGAGATCAACTCACAGTGGCATTACTTACTAGATTCCAACTTGCCCAGTTGTTAAGTTCAGAAAGGATGACCTTATCTAGGCAGTGTCGGGGTGGAGCAATGTACATTCAGTTTCTTGATGATTCAGTAGAGTGTGCTTACAGAGATATTTAGATATTTATTTACCCTTCTGATCTGTGCTTTTCAATTACTTTATCCCCCATGTGATTTGAAAACTCCTCAGTCTTTGCTTGAAATTCACTACCTTACCAAAGAACCTCAGAGATGAGTGTTTTTATTCTGAAATAATGGGAACCACTGTTATTGTATGCAGACAGAGGCCACTCAACTAATTAAGTGACTTGTTAAGTTAATGTTGTGCACCTAAATTTAGGTTTGCCACAACAATTGGTTAGAATATTTAAGTAATCATGATTTTTCTGTTTTTCTTCATATTATATATTTACTTTATTTTTAGCTTTAGATGTCTTGGGTAGATTATGTATGTAACAAGTATTTGCTACTTCAGAATGTACTGACACTAAAACATTGACTGTGACTGACTTTTCTTGGCGCTCACCTGTTGATTTATAATTTTAATTAAAACATTTTTTAGTTTTGTCCCATTTTGTTTCATTTCCATCCAATAAAAAATACAAATAATATAGAGGTGGTAAATGGTCAATAATTGTATTTTCAGGCCATATTGAGGTTGTAAAGCTTCTAGTGTCCCATGGAGCTGAAGTGACCTGCAAAGACAAGAAAGCCTACACACCCCTTCATGCTTCAGCCTCTAGTGGAATGATCAGTGTGGTGAAATACCTTCTGGACCTTGGGGTTGATGTGAGTTCTTAATTTGAAGTTCATTTCCTTTCCTCTCTTGTTCTAGGTCCTAATAGGTGTTGTTTACTTAATAACATTAAATAAAATAAGTAATCATCCGTCATTGGTAATATGTGAGAATACCCATTGAACTAAAATAGAAAAGTTGTATTTTATAGCTCTTGCTACATATTCAGTACGTTCTTTTCAACATATCTTTTGAGAAGGTTTTGGTTGAAGTGATTTTGCTAATGTGGGCTTGTGTGATACTGTCTTTGATGTCTAAAGCCCTCTCAGAAAATAATATAATTTTTCCCAGCATTATTAGGCACTATTGCAATTAGATGAAAATAAGTATTCAGTTATGTATGGTATGTATGGAAGACTTTTGCCTTCTGAGTGGAATGCTTCGTCTATGGAGCAAGCATATGTGCAGGTTAATTCTGATACTGGAATGTCTAGTTACAATGATTTGTCCCTGTGTTAACTTAATGTATTGTTTTCATAATTTTGGGTGATCCTACAGATCAATGAACCAAATGCATATGGAAACACACCACTTCATGTGGCCTGCTACAATGGACAGGACGTTGTTGTGAATGAACTCATTGACTGTGGTGCTAATGTCAACCAAGTGAATGAAAAAGGCTTTGCTCCTTTGCACTTTACTGCTGCATCTCGACATGGAGCACTGTGCTTAGAACTTCTCGTTGGCAATGGTGCAGATGTCAATATCAAGGTGAGAAAGATTTATGCTGTAATCATCTGAGCCTGAATTATTGTTTAATGACTTCTGCAACAAAACTAGTTAAGAAACCCTATCCATTACCAACACTGATGCTCTTATTTAACACCTATGATCGTGCAGAGCCCTTTAGATAGGGTATGTGGGTTACTAGAAAACATTTGGAGTAGATATTTAAATAATTAAACTTGAGTCAGTCAACACTTTTGATCACATAAATATTAGCATGTTATTTTTTTGCACATTTTAGCCAATATTAATACAAACTTAAAAACATTAAAAAGTGCACGATTCATTGAGGAGTTGAGTTTTCTAAAAGCCTTCATGGTGAAATATATTATTTAAGGTTCAATTGACAGTTGCCAGATAAATGCAAGCTCCTCTGTTTTACAACATTTACCCCAAAACAAAGAACAATAAACTCCTCAGGTATTTAGTCCACAGTATATGTAACAGTAGAACTGTGTATACCTATAAAAACTAAATTGAAAGACTGACATTAAGTTGTGAACTTTATTCAGCAACCTTCAAAAGTATAACTGATATACTGCACAATGTAGTTGGATTATGACCAGATGCTGGACAAACCTTTAAAACTCTACAATGGTTCCTGTGTTGCTCATACTTTGTCATCTTACTGTCTCTCTCACTTGGAAGGTGATGGCATAATTACCTGCAGCTAGTGTCTCTGAGTGCTAGAATGTTAATTTATTCCAGTGTTTAGGCTGACCTACTTTCCTTAATGTGCAACCTGAGGTTTCCCTAATGTACAATGATATATGGTTACGTAAACTGTTTTAACTAGAGACAGTTGTACTCTATGTTGTGAGATACTTAATATGCACTTGCCATTTCCACTTCCACAGTATCAGGTCATAAGTAACCTGTTTGACCCATTGGAAATGATTACATTTGAATCTTGTTATAAGTACTGTACTTGCCAGAGGCCCTGGTCTTGAAATGAAATGGCAGATTGTTTTCATGCATGTTGCTTGTTTTACACACAGTTGCAACTGTAAAAAGGATTTTTTATCTCACTTTTCTTTCTGTTCTAGAGTAAAGATGGGAAAACTCCTTTGCACATGACAGCCATTCATGGCAGATTCTCTCGGTCACAGGCGGTCATTCAAAGCGGTGAGAGAACCATTCCAGTTGGGTAAAATATATTAAGAATAATATGTAGTTTTCATAAAGCAAATGGTGGAATTAATATATTATCACAGAGCAAAACAAAGATTCTGATATTGAGCAATATTTCTATAAAATAGCCTTGTTGTTACCTGTTTACAGTTTATTTTAGGAACTAAGTTTCTGATATTTTATTGTGGGTTATAGTCTTGCCAATGTACAGGTTCCCATATTGGAATCTGATATTAAGTCTATGTAATTGTATGACCTCATAGCTGCTACACACCCAGAGAGGGTTGCATTTCTGTTCTTCTACCTTCTTTTGACTTCTGTTTTTTATGTAGGTGGGGTGAAAGGGTTGACCCCAATGCAAATAAAAATGATCAAATTGGGTCAGACTTTTTTTATTTTAAATAACATTGAGTTTGATAGAACTTTTATAAGTTTGTGTACTGTATAGAATATTTCAGACTTGTTTTTGTAATTGGCTTGTTAGTTCAACAAAGTACTTGTGTGTTCTCTCAGGTGCTGAAATAGACTGTGAAGATAAGAATGGCAATACTCCTTTGCACATAGCAGCGCGCTACGGCCATGAGCTGCTTATAAACACTTTAATCACCAACGGAGCTGACACTGCAAAGTGAGTGGAGTGTATTGATCCTGACAGAGGTGATGGCAAAAGGGAATGCATTCACCTAATGATTCATGTCTTAGCAAAAGCAAAGCTGCAGCTTTGTTTTAAACAATCATCGGTAACTTAGAATGCCGTGGCATTTCATTAGTATTTTATTTGTTAGGTATATTACATTGTTTCTTCCTCCCTTCACACACACCCCAATTAAGAGATGTCTTTGTGTTATATTTACATATTTCTGACAATGCACACATGGAGACATTTCTTTCCTGTAATAAACCGTTTTGAATCCATAAATAATTTTCATGACAGCTTCAAAACTTGGGGACGTGGGGACTTTTTTATAACTGAGGTTTCTCACAAATTTAAAAACTTTTGTGATAAAATTAGTACTTTCTCAATATTTTTGGTTAAAAGTGCTCCTAATGTTTTTCTAT